ACAAACTCCACACACACAGTGAGGCTGCCGTCCGGTGCAAGTTGCGTCCTTGGGCTCCGCAGTTTGGGTCAGCGCAGGGTTTAGGGTTTGGGGTTTAGGGTTTAGGGTTTAGGGTTTAAGGTTTAGGGTTTAGGGTTAGGTTTAGTGACCCGAAACCCTAAACCCCTAAAGCCTAAAACCCTCAGAGGAGCCTGCAGAGAGCCCGCAATCCTCCGTACGGGGAGTGACTCCGTTGTAGCTCCTTTTTTGGGTTTTAGGAATCTAACTATTAAGTTGGAGACTCCAAAACCCCTTATATAATCAGGAATATCCTTTAAATACTATTATGGTGCCTGTTTCAATCTGAGGGATGTTCCTCAACTAAAGCTCTTTTTGGTCTCCGGGTTGCCCGATGGCACACATGTGGTAGGAGGTATAGTCCCGGCATCGTTGTTCGAGTTTTCATGGTGCAGAGCTACCATATATAGTATAGGGGCCTTAATAATAGAATAGGGCTTTGGGGTATAACATTATACTATAGTTATAGTATATAGATCCTTATTAAGGCCCCTATATGACGCAACATGCCTGAAGACTTGTCAACCCTGGGAGGGCTCCTAAGCAAGGACACGAGAGGTTTAGGGTTTAGTGTTTAGGCAACACAAGGGCCCGACACCTAAAATCTGCTCACCTTCCTAGTGTCCATGATCTGATTGATCCTAAATGTCCCAAATCCTAGACCTCCACGCTTTTCATCGTAAAGCCGAATAAGCCTGAATCACCCTAAACCCCAAACCCTCAAACTTAAACGGTCTGAATCCAAAAACTCTGCAAGGCGCCCTTACTCGGGGGTCGCATGCCAGCGCAAGACATCTCAGCTGCCGGCAGCCAATCCACCCCGAAATCATCACAACCGCTCACTGTGCTCCTGAAGGTAGGGTTTAGGGTTTAGGGTTTAGGGTTTAGGGTTCCGCTCACTGTGCTCCTGAAGGTAGCTGCTGTGCGCTTCGACGTTTCTGATGAGTACGGTTTAGGGCTCAGGGCTTAAACCCTCGTATTCTAGTCCCAGTACATGGAATCATTTTAGGGACCCTACAGAACAGTAGGTTTTGGTAATTCGGGGGTTAAGGGGCTAAAGGTTTAGGGTTTACGGCAAGTAGAGTATCTAGAGTCAGTGCAATAAGTATCCTACAAGTAATTAGGGTTTGGGCTGCTATCCGTTTCTATCCGTTCCTCGATGTTTTTGGTGGATCCCCGGATCACTTCATTGCAAGCCGGACTGTACATCGTAAGCATCTGATGCTTACATTTGACATAGGGCTGCGACACTTCCAACCCTGAACTTCATAACGCAGAATGATGGATCTTGAAGTGAAACCCCTTGTTATAGACAAAAAACAAACACAGAGGCTTCCCCTCGTTTTGAAACTAGACCAACTAACGCAGCTAGTAGACTCACACGCTTGTACACTGCATCTAAATTGGCACAATTTACCCTACAATCCTAAACCCTAATACCACGCCTCTACACCCTCCAATGCGAGCTCTCCGAAACTTGCTATTTCGAACGCCCGGCCTTCGAAATCAAAAGCCGAAACAGGGGTTAGCGCTTACAAGTAGGGTGAGAGGAGACTCTTTCAAGGTTTATGGGATTGGGGATTTCGTGTTTTGCAATATCGTGTACTACTGTGATTCAATCGCCAGACTGAAGCCTTTGTTCTATTTGGCCTGCGGCCTAAACTCTAAACCCTAAAACTTTTAATAACTAGTTGGGGGTAGTCATTTAGAGCGCGGGACTTTGCTTTAGGGTTGCGGTATGCTCCGATTCAAAAGACTTGGGACTCAGGGTTTGTGGGCTTTGGCGGTTTAGGGTTTAGGGTTTAGGGAATATTCCGATTTGCAAAGTGCCAAGTCTGGAGCACGATTGCTGCACCTGATAAAGTGCGGATCTTGTGCGCCCTTACTCTAATTATAAACCCTTAGCCCTCAACATCCCTAAGCCCTACTAAAACCTAAAACCTGAACCCTGAAAGCCAAGCCCTAAACCCATAGCCCAAAGCCCTAAACCCAAAAAACCTAAACCCTGAACCCATAGCCCTATGCCCAAACCCGAAACCCCTAAACCCCAAAACCCTAAACCCTAAACCCTAACCCCTAATCCCCTAAACCCCTACACTCCCTAAGCCCTAAGCCTAAAGTCACTCGAACCCGAAGCCCCAGCCTGATGTAGAGGCCTTAATAATTAGAATAGGATTTGGGGTTTAGGGTTTAGGGTTTAGGGTTTAGGGTTTAGGGTTTAGGGTTTAGGGTTGTATATCATACCATAATCATCATAAGGAACCCCCCAAAACCCTATTCTAATCATTAAGGCCCCCACTGTAGAACCCTATTATAGATCCCCTATAGGACCCTAGGAGCCCTTCAAGGAACCCTCTTCTAAGCATTAAGGCCCGTATATTCACCTGAGAGCCTGGCTCTGCGAAGTTGCGCCTGAAAGGCCCTTTGCGGCTTCCACCCACCTTCTCAGAGGGTTTAGGGCTTTAGGGGTTTAGGGCTTAAGGGTTTCCTGGGTTTTTGGGGGCTTTAAGGTTCAAAGTTTAGGGCTTCAGGGGGTTTAGGGTTTAAGGGTTTTTTATGGGGGATTTTAGGGTTTTAGGATTTAAGGTTTAGGGCTTTAAGGTTTAAGGTTTAGGGTCTTCTCGGAGGGTTTACTGTCGGGCCTTAATAATTAGAATAGGGTTTTGGGGTACATTATGCGATAATGATAATTATGGTAGGGGTTTAGTTTGCTCTTATGGGTTCAAGGTTTAAGGGTTTATGGGGGATTTTAGGGTTTAGGGTTTACTGTAGGGGTGCCTCAATAATTAGAACAGGGTTCTGGGCTCCTTTATGGTATCACTATAATCAGGAACCACCAAAATAATATTGGTAATTATTTAGGCTTCTATATTAGGGCTTTAGGGTTTAAGGTTTATTCGTTTATGGGTTTGGGGATTTTAGGGCTTTAGGGTTTAAGGTTTAAGGGGTTGGGGCTTTGGGATTTTAGGGCTTAAGGGTTTTATGGGTTTTGGGGTTCTGGGATTTTAGAATTTTTGAGGTTTGGGGTGTTACGGGCTGTGGGATTTCTTAGGGTTAAGGGTTTAGGGTTTAGGGGCCTTCCTAAAGATCTTCACGTGCCTGAGTTTTTCCCAAAGGTTTAGGGGGATTTCGGATTTATAGGATTTGTAGGGTTGAGTGCTCAGGCTGTACCCCTACACCCCGAACCCTAAACTCGAACCCTAAACCCGACACCCTAACCCTTACTAAACCCTAAACCCTAAACCTTAAACCCGACACCCTAACCCTGACTAAAACCTAAACCCCAAACCCTAACCCTAAACCTAAACCCGACACCCTAACCCCGTTACTAAACCCTAAACTCTAAACCCCAAACACGAAACCGTGGAGGTCTAATGGGCATTCGGTTTGGGATGATCTCGTGAGGACCCGCAGACTCCATCCTTACTTCAGGAAATTTTCCTAACCCAAAGGCCCAAAGGGTCCTCCAGGTTTTAGGGTTTGGGGTTTAGGGTTTAGGGTCCTCTAGGGTCCTCTAGGTTTTAGGGTTTCGGGTTTAGCGTCATAAACTACCGTTATGAAGTTGGGTCCCAAAAAACCGTCCTTATTATGGTGTCGGGGCCTAAGTCCGGAATAGTAATAATTACATATGGACCCTCTAGGTTAAGTTATACAGGAACCTTTGATGTTGTTGAAGGCCTCAAGCTCTAAATCCTAAGCCCTAGCTGAGGTGAACCCGGGAGCGTCGGCCTCAGGGCTGTTGGAGGGCGGGCTCCGGTGGTTGAAGAAAAGGCCGCAGCAACATATCTTATCTTTGATGGAGCCTTGACCTCAAACCCTAAACCCTAAACCCCGAAAGCCGAGACCCTAAACTCTCAACCTAAACCCCAAACCCCTAAACCCTGAACACCCTCAACCTAAAGCCTATGAAGCCTGGATCTTTCAGGGAGGCATAACCTAATGTCCTATCAACCCGAAGGCCTCAAGCCTATAGGCCAAACAAAAACTCGAAACCCAAAGGGTTAAGGTTGAACCCGTAAGGGTTAGGGTTTAGGTTGAACCCTTAAGGGTTTAGAGTTTAGGTTGAACCCTTAAGGGTTTAGGGTTCAGCTCCTGGTCCGATTTCCCTGAGCCCAAAACCCTAAACCCTTCCCTGAAGATGCTTTGCGGGTATCCGGGAAATGGCACTAAACCCTAAACCTTCAACCCTGAATTCTGAACCCTAAACCCTGAACACTAAACCCTGAAGCCTAAATCCTAAACCCTGAACCCTAAACAGTGGGGAGGTGATCTGCTCCATAGGATGACAAGTTGGAAAGTCTCAGTCCTTTGGGGTTTAGGGTTTAGGGTTTAGGGTTGGGGGTTTAGGGTTTAAGGTTTGGTGTTTAGGGTTGCGCCCTTTCAGGGTTCCGGGGTTTAGGAGAATTTTGGTTTCAGGGGTTTAGGGTCTGGGCTTTAGGTTAGGCTTTAGTGGCTTCGGAAATTAAGGGTATTTGGGGGTTTGGGGGTGGTAAGGGTCAGGGTTTTTGCAAGTATTCTCATCTTTGAAGCCTGCGAAATGCTCAAGCCTTGAGAAGCTACGATAAGCTGTTTTTGGTAGGTAGCTAGGTAGGTGGTACAAGTAGGAGCAACCCTAAACCTGAAACCCCTAAACCCCTAAACCCCTAAACCCCTAAACCCCTAAACCCTAAACCCTAAACCGTTGCCTACTAGCACTACATAAGCTGCGACCTTACTTGCAGCATCACGTCTATATCCCCACAGCCCGCATGATTTTTCAAGACCATGCTCCTTCTCCAACAGCCGAGATCCGGGGCCGCTGGGGCCTACTATAGGGGGCTTATAATAATGAGAATAGGGTTTTGGGGTATACTATAGCATAATTATGATACTCTAACAGAATTATGATATAAGGAACCCCCCCAAAAAAATAGTATAGGTAATTATTTCGGCCCCCAGATTTACTAGAGGAACTTGACAAGTAGAAAAAATTGAGGCCCACGGCCCATCCAATCCGAAGAGATCTCAAAGCCACTCTTCTCGTAGAAGCGTAGCGGCTGCCAGTCGTCGCGCTGAACATGCAAGGCAAGAAGATGCAGTCCTTACTTTTGAAATAAGCCACAGAAATAGAAAGGTTAAACATTCCCATTACTACTAAACCCTAAACCCTAAACCCTAAACTACAAGAGGCGAAAATAAGCCTAAAGGTTGACTATTGGGGAACCAGAGAGTCCCCAAAACCGGGCCCGTTCTTCGGCTTCCTGCAACATCCGTGCTGCGAGCCCTGAACCACGCCAGTCAGGTGCAACCGCAAACCTTACTTCCCCAATAAGCCAGGGGTATAGTATAGTAGTGTATAGTATCATTGGTATAGTATAGTATGGCATAGTACTTACTTCCCCAATAAGCCAACTAAGAAACTGCTCCAAGTAGGCAACAGCTTCCAGGCCCTTGCCTTCAAGAACAGCCTTCAAGGGCACAGTGCGGACCACAATTGCTCTTTCTAAGCCCTCCTCTTCGTAGCTGCGGCAAGCATCAGGGAGCCATTTCACCCGAAGGGCCAGTGTTCCTAGCAGATCAGGTTCTGAGGCCTCCGGGCTCTCGTAGAAGGCACAAAGAACTCCGCCATAAGAGTCGATCATCTCATCGCAAGCTTTCACAACGTCATCCTCATTCCCAGGCAATTCCCTCAATTTCGTAGGATCGATAGGCGGAGGTGTGTTGGCAAGGCCCGGGATCAAGCCGTCGCTTCGTCTCCAGTCCAAGAACGCAGCTGGGAATTCAAGAATCTGCAGGGCAGCTGGTATTGTGGAAAACGAGCCGGCGAACAAATAAGCCTCCCATACGCCGGAGAGAGTTGTCGCTGGGCGCAAGCACACCTGCTGCTTCATCATATCTACATCACTTGCCCCGCCCTCCGGGTTCCTCAGCTTTTGGGTATCCGGCCGTTTGGGAAAGGGCGGCCGGCGCTTGAGCCAGGTCTTCAAGGATGGCATCCGCCCACGCGGAGGAATCCCCAGCAGGGTTCGACTCCAAACGAAGGCCGCCGCGAAGCCGAAGGACGTTGCGAACTGGAGCCAGGCTGGTATCGCATACCTGGGCTCTTGTAAAGGAGCTTCTAAATTATGGAGGTTATGTTTGAAAGTTGCCGTGATAACAAAGACCTAGGACCTACAAGCCGTATTTACCATCATATAAACACCCCCCATGACATGGTGACTTAATAACCGACATAACCCTAAGGGTCCGTGTACCGGAGTAGTATATACTTTGGCGTGAATGTAGTTCCGATATAGGTACTTTGGGGCTAAGGTAAATACTATTTGGGCACATGAACATTTAGGGATACAGCTGCATGCCTAAACCCTAAAAGCCCTAAACCCAACCGACTTAGCTCTGTTTCGAAAGCCGAGGCACTCAAATCCCGAGCTCGCGGATCGCAAAGCCAAGGTGGCAGAAGAGCGCGGCGAAGGCCACGACAGGGCGATGAGAGGTTGAATCGGAGGTCCTTGAAGGGATCTATAAGGGTTTCTATAAGAGTACTATAAGGGTCCTTAAAGGGATCTATAAGGGTTTCTTTCAGAATACTAATAAGGGTAGAATCCAAATTAGGGTCCCTTTTCGGATCTACTCCTCGGGTGTAGACCTTTTGTAAGCCTCCCTGGAAGGAGGAGATGCGAGGAAGCCTGCAGTGATCTTGCAAAGCCATGGCTTGGTTGCCCTTCCATGGATATTTAAAGCTATTGAATAGCCCTGAATGCCGGGAGGCATAAGTCTACTACGTAATTATTCTGCACGGTTCCTGAAGCCGCATATCACTGAACCGGGCGATGCGTCTGGACCTCGCGCCGTCAAGTCCCGACAAGGACGTTTCGGCCATTATCTGCCATTAATTTAGAGAATCTCAAGGTGTAGGACGGAGCTCTGCAATTTCCAGCTATTTGCACACTGGAACGCTGACGCTGTTGCGAAGGAAAGATTGCAGATACCAAGCTCATGTTGGATGTCAACTCGAGCAGCCCTTGAGCTGCCGTGGCTGCGCGAAAGCACAAGCATGACTCGAACAAGAGATTCCGGACGCAGGCAGACGGTTGCACCAAAAACAAAAAACTCATGACGATGATATGAAGAAAAAACAATTGCAATCAATGGCCCGTCAGCACAGTCTTCATCGCCAGCACGATCACTCCTCAACAACAACATCATCATGATCAACATCGTAACCAATAACCAACAACACCATCAACATCATCATCATCATCATCATCATCATCATCATCATCATCATCATCACCATAATCATCGTCATATTTTTGTGCTTCAGAAGCAGCATTAGCTTCAGGTTATCTTGTTATTAAAAGCTCTCCATCTGCGCCAGCACCAAGTCATGATGTGCGTCGTCGTCTGGTTCACTACCTGTACCATTGGACCATCGCCATTCGCAACTCAAGAAACAGATCTCACACCCATCTTCGTCACCCACCCCCGGCCGACATGAATAAAGAAACACAAACAGAGCACAGGAGCCAAATTGCAATGCTGTCAGTCGTGAACCAGAACCCGATACCATCCTCAGATCTCAAGAGACCTCAATGCAGCTGATGCTTCCCTTAATACAGACCCCCTTTGCAGTTAGAACAAGGTTTCGGTGATATTATGGTATATTTCTGCAAAGGATTGGTAGTTGTCCTTCTGCATGACACGCGCCGCATCTTCAAGCCCTAAATTAAAGCAAACGATAGGTGGGGAGTTTGGGTATATAGGGCTTCTATAAGGCTTCTATAAAGTATATAGACCTTCTATAAGGCTCCTATAACGGTAACTACCCACCTGAAAATGCCCTAGACTAAACCCGCCTTCAAGAAGTAGTGCAACTCGAGCTCCGGCGGACAACTTGGAACCTGCGGAAACAAGTGCTCCTGGGCTATTGAGTCACAGGGGCCCTTGTAGCGTTTAGGGTTTAGGGTTTTAGGGTTTAGGTTTAGGGTTTAGGATGGTTTAGCTTTAGGGTTGTAGGGTTTAGGGTTGTAGGGTTTAGGGTTTAGGGTTTTAGGGTTTTAGGGTTTCGGGTTTAGGGTTTAGGGTTTCACAGGGAGCATTGTAGGGGGGTAAGGGGGAGGGGCTAGGGGACAACTTGAATAGGCCTTATGAGGTCCTGATTGCGGGCAGTAAGGCCCCCTGCCCCCTCCCAGTATACACCCCCTTAAGGGTCCTTGTGGTTGAGGTCCGAGGCTTCGGGCGGAAGTTGAATTAGGATATACGACCTTCGGCTTCAGGCTTCCTAGTACATGTCTTCGAGAATCCACCTTCCTGGAGTTGCCCACGTACCTTTCAAACATTTCGAAAGGGAACTGACCCTAGAAAAAACTGGTGCAGTTACTTTTCTTTCTGGCATCTTGGCTACTCTAGCTGTACCCATGGTCAGAGTCTGCTGGCGGTTCGGCTGACGTTCGGGCATTGAGGATGGCCTGAGCTACCTATCTTAAGCGCCCAAAATCCGTGCTTGAAATCTGGTGCACTCGGCAGTAGAGTAGAGTGTATAGTTGTAGCGAGGAACCCTAAGGAATAGTTTTATCATACTCTCTGGGTTCCACACTCAAACTATAGGGATACTATACTACACCAGGTTAAACTAGACTAGACTAACTACAACCTTAAACCCTGAACCCCTAAACTAAACCTCCAAACCGGTCAAACCCTGAACCCTAAACACCCCGAAACTCTGTACGTAGTTGATTTGCCAGGCTCCTAGCCGAAAGCACGACTCGCTTAGCCCTGTACCGGCACCCCTAAACCCTATGGGTAGTTCGTTCTCTAAATTAAGGTCCCTTTTACCGGTCCTGTTTATTTTGGTGCCGTACTATTTGGGGTACCGAAAAAAGGTACACTAATCTCGAGTTTACCCCTATCTTGACCAATATTTTCTGTGCCTGCTTGAGGTCAAGTCCGTCAAAGTAGCATACCGTTTTTCAGCAGTGAACTTCTACTGTGTGAAAGTAGAAACCCTCCGAAGCACTTAAACAAAATCTATTGATGGTAACATTCCTGTACGGAAGCCCTGGGATTAAGTGAGTCTAGGATTCCAAAGTATGTCTCAAGTCCCGCCGTTTGTGCTCCGCGATGTCCTTTAAAAAGTCGACGGTCTTGCGGGGGCTCTCCGTCAAATTCACGGTGTCAAAGTAAAGGCTCATCTTTCTTCGTGGCCTTCTTGCTCATGCCCATGACCTTTCTGCCAACCTCCGAGCGGAACTGCCCCGTCGTCACCCAACCAATTCATGATGGGATCATGCAAGCAGACCACACCATGGCGCTTGTTTCGCGGGTCAGCAGACGAAAGCCGAGCGGGTCGTTCCCGTCACCCTAAACCCCATACGATAAATCTGAAGCCACAAACCCTGAACCCTAAATGCTAGATCAACGCGCCTCTGTCATAAACCCCTCCTGCTAAGACCTGAACTTCAAATACTGAGACTTGACTGGCTAGTGACAGACGCATCCTGAAGCACGAAATGACCCTGACAAGTGCGGGGCCCTATACCCTTATACTATGAACTCCTATTTGGTATATGAACCCTACACTATGCAAACACATGCACAATGACCCTGCCGCTGCATACATACAGGCACGCGCATACACCCACAAAAACAAGTAGACGCCTGAGTCCGGACAAGCAACAAAGGAAGAACAACGGCGTTAAAACAAGTAAATAATGGAAAACCAATTTGAAAACACACGAAACGAATTTTTCATACATAAATAAACATAAGATATATAATTCATAGTCTACACGCAAGTGGATACAACCCATGCTTCCAGCCGTACGACATATTGGCAGCTGCTCGCATTGAAGATATTTTAATTGCCTTCAACTTCAGGCAGCCATCCAAGGGGCCCTCGTTCACCTGCCAGAGAGGCGAGTTAGGGATGCTGCTGTTTAGGGTTAGGGTTTAGGGTTTAGGGTTCAGGGTTTAGGGTTTAGGGTTAAGGGGCATTGATCATTAGGACAGGATTGGAAGTATCCGGGGGTTTATCATACTGCATTATACTACGGAACTCTAGGGAATGGTGAATAGTGCTACTAACGATTCAGGTTTCTATACTTTGAGAGATATCAGAGCTTGAAGTTTTCAGTAGTCAGGCGTTAAGTTGCTTTTAAATCGCCCCCAATATCCCCCACAAGGCTTCGGATTCCCGAGCTCGGGCCGCACCCTAAACCTTAAGGACGACATGAACCCTAAACGAGTTTAAGGTTCATATACCATATAGGGATTCATAGTACCAGGGTAGACAGGGCCCCTACTTTTAAGGGCCATTTCGTCCTTAAGGAACCCCAAATCTGAGCATGGGTCCCTGGCGGATTTAGCCCGGAAGCTGGAAGCTCGAGGTCTTACCAGCACCCCACCCTCCCCCTCCCCCAAGTACTCCCTGTCATAGCGGCCATATGGGCCCTAAACCCTAAACCCTAAACCCTAAACCGCTAATACTTAGGGTTTAAGGGTTTTAGGGTTGAGGGTTTAAGTCTCCAGAGGCCTTAAAGTCAGTCCTTTAAAAGTGGCCAGTTAGGTACTCTTCGGCTCTGATGAGAGGTACTGTTGATGGTATATATCCTGCATTACTTTAAATACCCTCGACTATGGGAATTATGGTATATTCCTTGTTATGGGTAATGCAGGATTTATATCATCAACCGTAGTTCGGGGGGGGACGGGGGGTGTTGGTACACCTGCAAAACTTATTACCCTCGGATCGCAGTCCC